CACTCTTTTAATCACACAAATAACATGATTGCTTCCTGGTTTTTTGGTCCACGTGCGGAAAATAAAGAATTTGTTAAAGAGTTTTACAACAATGTAATTGATTTACAGGCAGAAGGAAGAAAGACGTACTTTGACACTGAAGATCCAAATTTCATTACATCGGAAATGCAAAATTCTAAAGAATTCAAAACTAATATGGATTATTTCAGAAGCCAACTCAACAAACTTTTAGAAAAACTCAATGAAAGGACTGTACCATTTTGGTCACCTCGTTATATGGGTCACATGGTTACAGAAACAACCATGCCAAGTAACCTTGGTTACGTGGCAGCCTTACAATACAACCAAAACAATATTGCTACTGAAGGTTCTCCACTAACCACTTTGCTCGAAGCTGGTGTTGGAAATCAGTTGTGTGAAATGCTTGGATTTAACATTGATAATAATTTAAACATCAATTTGGACAATCTTGACAAAAAAAATGAAAATATTTACAATTTTGGCCTTCAAGAGATACAAAGTTGGGGTCATATAACGTGTGACGGTTCTGTAGCAAATTTGGAATCCATTTGGTAAGTTTCCTTCAAAATATAATTATGTTTATTAAAAATTTGCTAATACTGTATTTGTTTTGCACTTTTCCTTTTAGGGCCGGTAAAATTCGCTATATGCAAAATTAGTTAATAAAATTATATTGAAATTTAAGAATGCTAAAATATTCAAAATTTTATTTTCATCACTTTAATAGCACGTAACCTTAAATTCTATCCGCTATCCCTTCGCCTTGCTATTGAGGAAGGTCATTTGTCGTTCATTGGCAGGAATTTTACTGTTGAGTTAGCCAATGGTTTGGAGAATAAGCTTCTTATGGATTGTACCACTTGGGAATTGCTTAACCTCAAACCGAGCACTGTGTTAAATATCCCTGAAAGACTTTTTCAAAAGTATGGAATTTCTCCTCAGTTTTTACAGGCTTCTCTCAAGGACTACTCCATTCAGTCTGTAGGAAAAGATTATCTAGAGCAAAGATTTGGTATCACAAAATCATCATTATATTTTGCAAGTAGCACACATCATTATTCATGGCCTAAGGGTTGTGGTGAGAATTAGTTTTTTTAGTGTGTGTGTGTTTTAATGTTTCTTTTACAAATATTTCTTCTACTATTACTAATATTTCTTTTACTTCAATCAATTATATTACTTTATTTAAAGCCATTGTTGGAATTGGATCCGGAAATTTGAAAAGCATTCCAGTAGACAATGCGGCACGAATTGATGTTAAAGAGCTTGATAAAGTTCTCTTCGAATGCGTTAGAAATAAACAAGCTGTTTATGCAGTAGTTGCGATTATGGGATCAACCGAACAAGGTGCCTGTGATCCTTTAGCCGATATAGTAGCGCTTCGAGATCGATATCAACGCAGATATGGACTTAGTTTTGTCATTCATGCAGATGCTGCATGGGGTGGATATTTTCGTACGATGCTTGTTGAACCACCCCAAAATTCCTCAACTGGTGATTGCCTAAAAGACCATAATGAAAATCATAATACTTTTGTTCCTATTTTGGCCTTAAATCCTTATACAAGAAAGCATTTATATAGTCTAAAAGATTGTGACTCTGTCACTATTGATCCACACAAAAGTGGATATATCCCATATCCTGCTGGTGGTTTATGTTATCGAGACCAACGCATGAGATATCTGGTCACGTGGACAAGTCCAGTTGTAACTCGTCCTAAGGAAGAAAGTATGGGGATTTATGGTGTGGAAGGAAGGTTAGTATTAAACTGAGCCAATAAATGTAATAAAATACGATAGTTTCATATTTTCAAATAATAACACTTCTTATTTTCTAGCAAACCTGGTGCAGCTCCAGTAGCTGCTTGGCTTTCTCATAATGTAATCGGCCTTCATCAAAAAGGTTATGGTGCATTATTAGGACAGGCAACTTTTACTTGTAGCAAGGTATGATATTATATGTGAAATAACTATAAATTTATTAAATATTATATAACCAAATACTTTATTCTTCAATGCAGATGTATTGTCATTGGGCTACTATGTCAACTGATGATGATGACTTCATCGTTGTTCCGTTCAACATGTTACCTGTTGAAAGGCTCAATTCACCAAATCTAAAGGAAGTCAAAAATCAAAAACAAAGAATCAGGGAACTAATTGTCAACAAATCAAATTTGGAGATCATAAAGAATGAAGAAGCATTAAATTTAATTAAAAATGTTGGTTCTGATCTTATAATAAACACTTTCGCATGCAACTTCAAAGTGAAAGGCGAAGTGAACGAAGATGTAAACGAAGCAAATTATCTTAATCAGCGTCTATTCGAAAAATTCTCACTTACCTCTTACAGACAAACTAACAAATCAAAACCGTTGATTCTTACTTCCACGGTGCTCAAGCAGAGTGCATATGGTCATTGTCTTACGAATTTTAAGAACCGTCTCGGCTTAAAGGGTGACCAAGACCTCTATGTGTTAATTAATGTAGTTATGTCTCCTTGGCCTACGGAGTTCGATTTTATCTCAATACTTACGAATGCTTTTAAACAATCTTTGAAAGAGCTGGCTGAGGTAAAATTTGATCTCTGAATGACTTTTTTTTATTCATTTCCTTTTGCTTTATCACTTATAGTTTTGTTATTTACAGATTTCAGTTATACGCAATACAAAAATACCCATTCACTCTAGCAGAATTCTTACAGTTAAGGAACGCAATACAAAAATACCCATTCACTCCAGCAGAATTCTATCAGTTGGGGAAACTCAATTAATCGAGAAAAGCTACTATCATTTATTTGTCATTCAAGGCACAGATGAAATTTATTTAGTGCACTTGCCATTGTTTCAATTAAAAAGCCATCGTTATCAAGTCATTATCAAGGTTGAAATACCGGAAAGAATGATGGAATTGTACAAGAACCTTCGTAAAAGAAACCCCTCGAAAGTGATATTGCTTTGTTACCAAGAAAATATTACAATAGATCAAATTGCAGCCGAAGGATGTTCTTTCAAAGCACATATTATAGAAAATTTTAATCCTTACACAATATTAAAAGAGTA